AAGTATAGTGTGTTATTTTTTTATTTTTTTTTAAAAAAAAAAAGTAATTTGGCGGCGGAAATTTTGAAACGTCGCATGGCGCTCGTAATACTTTGGCCGGAAAGTGACGAAGTGTCGATCCTTGCAATCCTTTTACAAGCTGATAAGCTGAAGCCATAAGAAGACCGAGGAAAATTGCGGGAAAATAGACAGATTGACTGAAATCTGAGAGATTTATTGTCTTCTTGCCAGGAGGCGGAGGTTCGATCCCGAACCGCGAAACTCGGAACTCGTGCCCCTTGTGCGACCCGTCTTCAGCCAACCTGGGTACTTGGCTACCTCCCGGGTCTCGGCTCTCGATTTCAGCCTCTTTCAGCCTGGGCCCACGAGCCACTCTTTCAGTTTCAGCACATCCGCTCCAGTCGCATGCCCTTTGTGTCCACCGCGGGCGCTGCCCCCCAAGTTCTCCACCCCCGGGTCATCGTGGTCTCGCCGTGTTGTTGTTTCGAGTTCGGGAATCGTGATTCTGTGACTTCGCACTTAGCCGACTCCGCCCGGTACCCCCCTGTCTCCTATCGATCCTGTGCCCCGTTTATTGAACTTATCGAAAATCGAGCGATCCTATTGGTGATCTGTGCCAATTTCGTCTGGCGTTCAACTCGGGAACATGTTAAAAACGTCCGTAATCTTGGTGATACGTTTATTGAACTTATCGAAAATCGAGCGATCCTATTGGTGATCTGTGCCAATTTCGTCTGGCGTCCAACTCGGGGACGTGTAAAAAACGTCTGTAATCTTGGTGATAATCTCCGCAGTAGATGTTGAGATTACGCTGTTTTTGAGGTTAAACGCTTGACGAAGTTGATAGCTCACTGTACTGCCGTGCCCGAGGAAAACCCCGTATGAGCAATCGGACGATGCCAAAATTACCCGGATAAAATATTTATGTTCGAGGAGACCTTACAGTTGTTTCTCTTTGACATTTTTAGATTAACTAGACGAAATTCAAACGAAATTGACTGGAAATTTCATGAGAAATTATTCAAAAATTTCTCAGAAAGTTCAAATTTTATCAGAAACTTGGCATCGTCCGGAAGTTTATGTGACGTTTTCCCGTAATACAGCAGAATAGGTTCACCGTTTTCGATTAGTCCAGTAAATCAGGCTGCAAGCGGGCTGATCTTCGGAAGTTCTTCTTGAAGATGGATTATCGGTTTTTGTGGCTCACTAACTTTCTGTTGTCGACGGCTTACTGTTGCCGGTTGCATTCATCGAGTTGCCTGCAGTCCTTAGCGATTTTCAGTAAAATTGTTGCGTATTTCAAAATTTTATTGAAGCGACAGATTTATAACCGTTTAGGTATGGGTGTCTGAGTTTTTTTTTACTTTTGCTTTTTCTAAATTCGTGGGAAAGAAGAAAAAATTGATTTTCATGCCAGGAAGAACACTAAAGCTTGAATCATCTTGGCTCAAAGTAGGTATACCGAACAAAAATGATTGACCATCTGAATTTTTTTGACGATCTTAGAATATTGAGAAAATCTCCGGGAGTGTCGTTCTACTTGAAAGAAACAATCATTGACAGTGGCGCTATCATATCAGATAAATTAATGAGCCCCAAAAACTGATAATCTAACCGAGAGGATGGTTGCGATAAGACAGGACTGAGAAATGACGTCACTGAATAGTTGGCTCACGTGGTCACCCGTATAGTAGAATTTTAGACGGATCGTTGGAAAATTGAGTTCCTCATGTGACCAATCTCAAATTTTCGTTCACATCAAGAACGAACGAATGATGTCACGCCATTTCAGTCCATTCTTAATGGGCAGAATCCTGCAAAAAGAGCCGAACACATCAGTTCACTAAAGGAGCACGTGTCTCTTCAGTGGCACGTTTGTCGTTCCTGAAAACCACTAGACAAGGTACGAATTTAAGCAATCCGATACATGTTTCTTAACCAGAATTTAACGTAAAACACGATTCGCACAACGAAAATGACTGAAACCAACTCCTAACGAAGATATCAACGTTTTCATTTCACATTGGTTACGAGGAATTTGAACTACCTGCTCACAAGAAACTCAAAGCTCTACGTGAGTCAAATCGCGCACTACAACGGTTTCAGCAAGCTTCTCAATCGAACAATGTTCATTTCCCACCATGTGTTGTTCATGCTATTAGCAATTTGCTATAGCTGAGCCAAAGCGTCAAGATTGATTGCCAGTATGTATATCGCAGAGACTGTCATGATAGCGTTTAGCGCGCCGTGTGAATCACGTAGAGCATTGAGTTTTTATGAGCGGGTGGTTTGAATTCACGCACCAAGAATCATTAAATATCTTCGGAAGGAGTTGATTTCGGTAATTTTCGTTGTGCGCACCGTGTTTTACGTGAAATTTTGGTGAAGAAACATGTATCAGAATGCTGAAATTCGTACCTTGTCTAGTGGTCCATTAATTAAATTGATGGACAAAAGGATAGACACAAAAGAAACTTGGAGTATCCCATTGGTTGAAACGAGTGCTTCTTATAGACCAAGGGGGAAATGGTGGACTAACTATAGGGTCTCTCGGGAGTTGTCGTTAGTCAGTCTATTACTGACCACATTTGTCCATCGTAACCACCCAGCACCCACTTCACCAATAGGATCGCTCCATTTTCTCCATGTTTTTTTTGTCTATCGATTTCAATAATCAGCCCGCTGAACAACGAAATCCATCGGTCAGCCCGTGGGTCTTATCCCCTCCACTTCTTTTGCATTCCTTTTTATGCTAAAATTTGACGCATACCTCACGCAATGGAGAATTTGCACACAAAAATTGTATTGCTTCGTCTGAGAGTGCTTGACGAGCTGACTTCGCAGTATTTTTTATAATTTTTTTGTGACATAGAAAATTGTAGAAAAATAGATTTAAAAAAGGGAGGAAATGTGCCGCCTCATGACGTCATCTGGCGGTATTTTCCATTTGAACGCGTGTATTTTAGCAGATTAGGTTATTTCGTCATAATATTTCCTCCAATAATCGTCCAAGTTAGAAACCAAGGATATCCTCGTACTCAGTTTTCCTATCAGTACCATTTTGAAGATGAAATTTACAAAATTTTAGACACCTGCAAATTCTCCATTGCCTTGATCCCACGGCAGAAATTTTACAAGACATTCCACGGAATCTCCTATGCAGTCCTGTACTGGAAATCCTTCTGAAGTAAGGGTTATGAGGTACAGGATTTCATCACACTTGAAGATACACTGAGCGAGATTTGTGGCGCAGGAAGTTTCCGTGGAGCGTCTTAAAATCTCTGCCCCAAAGGCTGATACCTACATATAATTAGCTATCTCATTCTCGGTCCAGTGCAGTGGCAATCTGATCCAGATTTGGAGGCTGTTGATATTACGAGATGGCGTATTCGTGCTAGGGTGAAGTGTCGATAAACTCGAAATCGGATTCTGAAGTGATTTCTCGATGATTCAATCTAAATGCGCGATTGTGCGAAAATCTGACATGGAATCTGTAGTTATTTTTGGCGCTAGAAAATCATACAAGTCGGGAAAAATCTCCGTTGAAAGCTGAGTTTTTGGTGCCTGTAAAAGTGCAAGTGTAAATAAAACATTTTTGATGCCAGGAAGTAGTGCAAAGGTGGGAAAACCACTGAGAACCTGAATTCGCATCTAACGTTTGATGCTAGAAAAGAGTGCGAGTGTAGAAAAATCTACTCTCCGACCTGATTCCGCAGAGTTTTTGAGGCCAGAAAATAGTGCACCAGTGAGAAAATCGACGGTAGAACCTGAATTCGAATCTCATTTTTGATGCTAACAGATAGTGTGAATGCGGGAAAATCAACACACGAATCTTGTATATCCCCATCGAAATTTTTGATGTTGGAAAATAGTGCGCACGCGGGAAAATTGAGGTTAGAACCTGAAGACGCATCGCGCTTTTTATGCTGGAAAATCGACGCACCCACGAACCTGAATTCGCGTCGTATTTTTGATGGTTGTAAATAGCACGAGTGCGGGAAAATCAACGCACGAATTTTGCGTATCCACGTCGAATTTTTGATGCTAGACGAAAGTGCGAGCGTGGGAGAAGCAACGTCCGAATATCGCGTATTCGCATCGAATTTTTGATGCTAGAAGATAGTGCACCAATGAGAAATCTGACGTTAGAACCTGAATTCTAATCGCGTTTTTGATGGTAGCAAATAGCGCGAGTGCGGGAAAATCAACGTCCGACTTTTGCGTATCCACGTCGAAGTTTTGATGCTAGACAAAGGCGCGAGTGCGGGAACATCAACGATCGAATCTGGCGTATTCACATCGAATTTTTGATGCTAGAAAATAGTGCGCACGCGGGAAAATTGACGGTAGAACCTGAACTCGTTTCGCGTTTTTGTCGATAGCAAATAGCGCGAGTGCGGGAAAATCAACATCCGAATTTCGCGTATCCACATCGATTTTTTGATGCTAGACGAAAGTGCGAGCGCGGGAGAATCAACGTCCGAATTTTGCGTATCCATCAAATTTTTGATGCTAGAAAATAGTGCACCTGTGGGAAAACTGACGTTAAAACCTGAACTCGAATCGCGTTTTTGATGGTAGCAAATAGCGCGAGTGCGGGAACATCAACGTCCGAATCTGGCGTATCCGCGTCAAATTTTTGATGCTAGAAAATAGCGGGGCGACGGGGGAATCGGGGTTCGATCTGAGTCTGCGGGGCGCGCGGGAGCGGGAGCTGGAAAAGGGGCGCGAGCGGGAGAGAGAGCGGGAGAGGGAGAGGGGGCGGGGGTCGTACAACTCGAGCATGGTGTCGGCGGTGTGGCAGTACTGCACGCGGCTCCCGAACAACGGCGTCAAGTGCAACGTCTGCGCCCGGGTCATGGCCTTCCACGGCACCACCAACCTCCGCGTCCACATCGGCAGGCACTTCGGCATCAAGCCCACCAAGCAGCGCCTCCTCGCCCTCGGCATGGACAAGAACCACGCACAGCGATCTGGTAGGTACCCCGTCCCACCACGGATCAACCGTAACAAATTCCAAGTGGGAACTTGCACCTTCCCGGGGCAGGCACTATGCACTGCAAGGGCCTGGCAGGGTACATGGCCGAATCCATCAGGGAAGCGTAGGCGGATTCAGGGAAGCGTGGGCGGATCCGCGGTTCCAGGGACAGTGACGTAGACAAGACTGGGGAGGGGGGAGTCCAGGGAGTCTGGACCCC